CAACAGTACAGTGACGAATCAGTATTTAATACTTTTCTTTCAATAAAACTGGTATTCGTAATACAGTGTGTTGAAGGAATAAGGAGAATAATAACTAACACTAGATTAATAATAGTAAATAAAAGCAAAATCTTGATTCCTTGGATTGATCGGAACGTCCCTTTCACATGATTTTAGATTACGAGACTAGGGTATTACTTCGGATCCTCTGACAGTTGAACAAACCGGAACATATTGACGAAAAGAGTTCCCTAATTATTACGACCTCGCCACTTTTTCTCATTCCGAATACCCTGTCTTTTTCTATATGCCCAAAAATCGTGAAAAAGAGGAAAGACTAACTGTCATGTTCCCCATCAGATTGCATATTCACTAGTAAAAGTTTCGACCACAAAATGTAATTCCCACATGAAACTCTCACAGACTTGTATCTATATCGAAGCAGAAAGAAACTTCTTCACTTATTCAATCGGAAGCCGGTAACAGTGTTAATCAAAAGTGTCTTCAACCAATGGCGTATATCTACTGCTTTATATACTATACCTTCTGTCATTCCAGTTCCAGTACTTGTTGAACTGATGGTCAATGTTGGTGTAGGTCCACTGACAGTAATAGGAGCAGTACTACTACTGACAATTGTTGTGGCGGTGCTTGGTACAAAACATGCGATCACGGATAGCGTTACGTTTTCCGGTGGTTGGTTATTAGTTGTTACGAACGTGATAGTTATTGTACTGCCTTCTTTTAATGGTGTAATCGGAAAGTTATCAACTGTGTTCGTTCCTGTCGGTGATGTTAGGCGAACTGGTGTGTCTGAAGTCGCTGGTGTGAATGTGACCGTGATTTCAACGACATTTGTCAACGGGTTCGGTACCGAAACTTCAGTCACGATAGGTGCTATGCCTGGTGCCAGTGGTATTACTACTTTGGCATCCGGCGTAGTAAAAGTAACACCGGGCGACCCTGGCTTAAGATCCGATGGTACTGTTCCAGTTTTGGCATCAGTTAGTTGGGGCGAGTCGAGGTATTGAGGGCTTGTCATACCTAGAATAGATGAATCGTGGATTAGTAGTCATCATTTGAAATGTGCTTACCTTCTGTGAGCGGGCAGACCATAGTGGTTGTGAAAGGTTGGCTTGTTGTAAATCCAGTTTCACTGGCCGATGATGAAGGTGCTGGAACAAAACAAGGATTATTTGTAAAAGTTTCACTAGGATGAAAACTATATTCTACTTGATTTCGTCGATGGTGTGGTCGAAGCACCTGACCCTGCCGATTGGGACGATGCACTCGTATATGAAGTCGCTTGTGTAGATTCTTTCGAACCTAAGAAACCAATGAATGCATGCTAGATTTTCATTTGACAAAATCGATCGACTGTCTGTTCAGTGATACAGTGAATATGAAGAACATAATATGGGTTACTTACGTTTCGTCTTATCTCGTATGAAAGCTGGGAAAAGTGACCGCGTGCTTGGAAATTACTTTTATCTGGAAAAATTCTTCACGCTAGTTCTTAAACGCGTGAGGACGGGAGATCGTAATAGAAAGCAGGAATACTCTGTAATGTATTAACCGGATGTTCGGAATTCAGTATACGTACTATATTTAATGTGGCATATGCAGATCACAATGAACAAGGTGGATGTTCGGAAGACAATTCAAAGCGTGCTTTAACATGGAGTTCGTAAAAGAATTTATGACGAGATTGTAATTGACTTAAAGGTTTTTTTATTCTTATAGACGATAATAGTTTCCCTTTTTTTTACATCCATGAGTATATGCGTACCGTATTATTCTTTCTATACCTATACTCTTTGTACTATAGTGTTAAAAGTTATTTCTATGGAAATAAATTGAATAAAAAACAACAGCAACAACATTGAACGAAACCACGCGACAAGTTGCTGCTGCATATTCTTTACGTTTAACTCCAACATTAAACCGTCCTAGAGTTATGCTGAGCAATAATACTACTGCTGCTGCATTGCGGTTCTCTTGATCATTATCATCTCAACCTGTTCTCATGACTACAATATCGAAGAATAAATAAATATCTAGGACCAAAAAGCATCTACATTCATCGAACGATGAATGAAATGATGATGTACATCAACAGTACAGTGACGAATCAGTATTTAATACTTTTCTTTCAATAAAACTGGTATTCGTAATACAGTGTGTTGAAGGAATAAGGAGAATAATAACTAACACTAGATTAATAATAGTAAATA